CCCCTCTTACGAGGTGTGTGTTAACATTAATGTATTGACTTGTTAGTCCCATCTTACGAGGCGTGTGTTAATATTTATGTATTGACTTGTCAATTCCTCTTACGAGGCGTTTGTTAACATTTATGTATTTACTTGTCAGTCCCCTCATACGAAGCGTGTTTAAACATTCATGTATTGACTTTTCAGTCTTACGAGGCGTGTGTTAACATTTATTTATTTACTTGTCAGTCTTACGAGGCGTTTGTTAACATTTATGTATTGACTTGTCAGTCCCCTCTTACGAGGAGTGTGTTAACATTTATGTATTAACTTGTCAGTCTTACGAGGCGAGTGTTAACATGTTATAGTAAATAACGCCTATAAGAATAAAACTCAACGAAACCACTAGGAACACTCGTGAACAAAATAAAAAACGATACTTTTCATTGCATATGCATATTCCTAAAATGCATGTACAAGTTATTATAACTGACAAGCTTGTCTTTACATTGACAGTTTGCCAGCATCGAAGTTGTTGTTGCGGCGATAACGAACCATTTCCGAATCCTGCGGAAACGAACCATGTTAGTGACAGTGTGCGCATGTGCGTTCTATTTCTTTCTGGGGCTGGTTTTCTGTACCCAGGTTTGTATAGTGGAGTATACAGAATAATTGATAGCGACGATGCATATGTTTTAATATATGAATTCTAAGAGTAGCAATGCTCCTGAATACTACAGATAGACTAGGATAGACTAGGATAGACTACAGGTGATTTTGATACTAGAGGGTAGCTACAGCCATCGTGGGTACATAACCTCAACTGAAATAGCTGTAAACAACACAAATAATGAAATGTCTCGAAATATTATCAACATGTGTTATAATATGTGAACTGCTGAGCTGGATTAACAACTTCCCAAGAAGGAATCAACATCAATCAGTTGTTGGACGTGTCTGTAGCACATCCATGACCAAGTGTTAACAAAGCGTAGCTGAATTGAGTCATTTCGGTACATATAAAACAACTATTGTACATACGTTTCCAGCGTAGTCAAAATCGATATCGATTGTATGAAAACTCGTACGAATTTTACACCTTAGTGTGCATACGTGCACACGGTTGTGTAAAAAGAACTTCTCATGATCCATACTTATCAATCCGAAGAAAATGTTAGAAATACCAGTCCTTTTAACTTTCTGTTGTAGGCAGGAATCTACGTCTATCAGTTGTTGGACTGGTACGTGTCTGTAGCCAGACCCGTCATTGTAACTTTCTGTTGTAGGCAGGAATCTACGTCTATCAGGTGTTGGACGTGTCTGTAGCTAGACCCGTCCTTGTAACTTTCTGTTGTAGGCAGGAATCTACGTCTATCAGTTGTTGGACTGGTATGTGTCTGTAGCCAGACCCGTCCTTGTACATTTCTGTTGTAGGCAGGAATCTACGTCTATCAGTTGTTGGACTGGTATGTGTCTGTAGCCAGACCCGTCCTTGTACATTTCTGTTGTAGGCAGGAATCTACGTCTATCAGTTGTTGGACTGGTACGTTTCTGCAGCAAGACCCGTCCTTGTACATTTCTGTTGTAGGCAGGAATCTACGTCTATCAGTTGTTGGACTGGTACGTTTCTGCAGCAAGACCCGTCCTTGTACATTTCTGTTGTAGGCAGGAATCTACGTCTATCAGTTGTTGGACGTGTCTGTAGCCAGACCCGTCATTGTAACTTTCTGTTGTAGGCAGGAATCTACGCCTATCAGTTGTTGGACTGGTACGTTTCTGTAGCCATACCCGTCATTGCAATTTTCTGTTGTAGGCAGGAATCTACGTCTATCAGTTGTTGGACTGGTATGTGTCTGTAGCCAGACCCGTCCTTGTACATTTCTGTTGTAGGCAGGAATCTACGTCTATCAGTTGTTGGACTGGTACGTTTCTGTAGCCATACCCGTATTTGGTCTAATCGAGTGCCTTGTTTTTGGCTGGATATACGGTAAGATTATTGTAGAATATACAATCATAAACCAAACATTTCAGTACGTAGAAAAAATATCAGATAATAAACCAACCGTGTCTCTTAGTTTGGTGGTTTCTTGCTTAAGTTTGCTTATCTCATTTCATTATATTTCAATTGAAGTTATGTGCGTGTTTTACAGGGGCAGAAAGATTTTCGCGGGACATTGAAATGATGCTTGGTCGTGGAGTTCCTGTATTCGTCCGGATTTGCTGGTGTTTTGTAACCCCAGTCGTACTCTTGGTAAGTGTCTGATAATAGTATTGTATCAATGTATCCTTTTCATATTACAGATTTAACGCCAGAAACAACATGTGTTGCAAGTAACACTCATTTGTTTTACACTTCCTTGAGTTTCGTTTTTGTTTTCCTATTGGTGTCGTAATTTTTGTTTCTGTTTTTCTTCTTTATTTCATATGCAACTTTCCTCTTGTCTTTACTATATACTAAGTAGGGATGTTTCCTGTCCTTACTATGTATTAAATAGAGATGTGTTCTGTCCTTACTATGTATCAAGTAGGGATGTTTCCTGCCCTTACTNAGTAGGGATGTTTCCTGTCCTTACTATGTATTAAGTAGGGATGTTTCCTGTCCTTACTATGTATCAAATAGTGATGTTTTCTGTCCTTTGTATGTATCAAGTAGGGATGTTTCCTGCCCTTACTATGTATCAAGCAGGGATGTTTCCTGTCCTTACTATGTATTAAGTAGGGATGTTTCCTGTCCTTACTATGTACAAATAGGGATGGTTTCTGTTCTTTGTATGTATCAAGTAGGGATGTTTCCTTTCCTTAGAATGTATCAAGTAGGGATGTTTCCTGTCCTTAGTATCCATCAAGTAGGGATGTTTCCTGTCCTTACTAGTCCTTAGCATGTATTAAGTAGGGATGTTTCCTGTCCTTACTAGGCCTTACTGTGTATCAAGCAGGGAGGTGTCCTGTCCTTACTATGTATTAAGTAGGGATGTTTCCTGTCCTTAATATGTATCAAGTAGGGATGTTTCCTGTCCTTATACTATGAATCAAGTAGGGATGTTTCCTGTTCTTACTAGTCCTTACCATGTGTTAAGTAGGGATGTTTCCTGTCCTAACTAGTCCTTACCGTGTATTAAGTAAGGATGTTTCATGTCCTTACTATGTACCAAGTAGGAATGTTTCCTGTCCTAAGTATGAATCAAGTAGGGATGTTTCATGTCTTAAGTATGTATCAAATAGGGATTTTTCCTGTCCTTACTATGTATCAAGTAGGGATGTTTCATGTCTTAAGTATTTATCAAATAGGGATGTTTTCTGTCCTAAGTATGCATCAAGTAGGGATGTTTCCTGTCCTTAGTATGTATCAAGTAGGGATGTGTCCTGTCCTTGCTATGTATTAAGTAGGGATGTTTCCTATCCTTACTATGTATCAAGTAGGGATGTTTCCTGTCCTTGCTATGTATTAAGTAGGGATGTTTCCTGTCCTTACTATGTATCAAGTAGGGATGTTTCCTGTCCTTACTATGTATTAAGTAGGGATGTTTCCTGTCCTGACTATGTATCAAGTAGGGATGTTTCCTGTCCTTACTATGTATCAAGTAGGGATGTTTCCTGAGCTGCAGTTCTGCTCTTTTTTTTGTACTTTCAGATTTTGTTTGTCTCCACGTTTATATCGTACAAGCCCCCGACATATGGAGATTACGTGTACCCGTCCTACGTTAACCTGCTGGGCTGGTGTGTCGGGTTAATGCCTCTCCTACCCGTTATCGTGGTGGGGGTCGGGACCGTGGCGAATACCCCCGGACACTCTATTATTCAGGTAAGTACAGGAGTTCAGGTAAAGCAAGGGCAATAACTTGAAACATGAGTATTTCTATTCCGGTGATTTTGTTTTTCCAAGGGGAATATACTGCACAGTTAAAGATATTTTGCTCGTTTTTCATTTTCTCTTATTGGTAAGTATTTACATTACAGGACAAAAGATGTTTGAAGTTTAGCACGAAGTCCTTGTCGAGTACTAAACTTCAAAATATCTTATCTCCAGACTTGAGATTTCTCTGTCTACACCCCACAGGAGTGATTGATTATTTTTCTTTTGCTTTTTTCCTACCATACAAATAATGTAAGTTGCAATGGTAAATCAAACGCTCCTCGCCATCATTAAATGCGAATGAAATGTGTGACAAAATTGAAAACGCGACAATGATAACGTGTTGCTACAATAGTGACGTTTTCAAACTTCCGCTTGGTACATAAAATTAGGGTTTGACCTGTCTTTACTTACCTTCTGAACACGTAACCATCCCGTCTTCACTTTATGCAGCGTTACAGTGTACAAGTGTCGCGTCATCAATTGTGTCGCACATAGTGGGGAAATGTAATAGTATACGATTTAATGGTATTAATCAACGCTTCGTAATAATGCCACCCATATGATGGTATAAACTAGGGAAATGTAATAGTATACGCTTTAATGGTATTAATCAACTCTTGGTAATAATGCCACCCCTATAATGGTATAAACTAGGGAAAGGTGATAGTATACGATTTAATGTATTAATCAACACTTGGGAATAATGCCACCCCTATAATGGTATAAACTAGGGAAATGTAATAGCATACGATTTAATGGTATTAATCAAAACTTGGTAGAAATGCCACCCATATGATGGTATAGACTAGGGAAATGTAATAGTATATGATTTAATGGTATTAATCAACGATTAGTAATAATGCCACCCATATGATGGGATAAACTAGGGAAATGTAATAGAATACGATTTAATGGTATTAACCAACACTTGGTAGAAATGCCTCCCATATGATGGTATAAACAAGGGAAATGTAATAGTATACGATATAATGGTATTAATCAACTCTTGGTAATAATGCCACCCCTATAATGGTATAAACTAGGGAAAGGTGATAGTATACGATTTAATGTATTAATCAACACTTGGGAATAATGCCACCCCTATAATGGTATAAACTAGGGAAATGTAATAGCATACGATTTAATGGTATGAATCAACACTTGGTAATAATGCAACCCATATGATGGTATAAACTAGTGAAATGTAATAGTATACGATTTACTGGTATTAATCAACGCTTGGTAATAATGCCGCCCCTATGATGGTATAAACTAGTGAAATGTAATAGTATACGATTTACTGGTATTAATCAACACTTGGTAATAATGCCACCCCTATGATGGTATATGCTGCTGCGGTACGATTTCACCTGAAATTTGCTTACAAAAGTTAGGTGTGGTCGATTCGGCATCAAAAGCCTTCCTCCATGAATTCTAGCATATATATCATCGGGGAGTGGGTTGCAATTACACGAGTTTATATCTAAACACTTACCATGTCTGTCTCTACACATTAGGATAGCTCCAAACATACCCAGTGTATCAAAGGCTACAAAAAAACTCTATATTCCTGATATACTAACATCGACATTACAAGTACACCAGGACTTGGTATTAGCCAAACCCAGTAAATAAAAGACAGAGCTCTTACATCACAGATCTACCTATACTATAACAGGTATATGTAATCTGTTTCACTGATTTAATCTGAAATCAAAATCACTCATTGCCAACTGTGCAAATTAGCGATTAGTATTTTCTATGTTTAAAACTGTTTTAAAAACCAATATCTCCAATTTGAGAATGTTCTTTAGTCAAATGGATAATTCAACATTTTCCAATGCATGATTCAAAAATAATTTGGCTTATTTTCTCGATCTAACATGGGGTCAAACATGTTTTCCCTAAGGTTGTTTGCTAGACTTTTTTTCTATTATGATATAAATGCAAGTCATAGCGAAAAAGAAATGTTAATTCTGTTACAATCAGTTTTATGTTAAACCAAAGATTGACTAAACTATCGACGGAATTGACAGATAACAAAAGGTATGTCCGAGTCCAAGTAAACCGAAGTAAAATGTCGAGTAGATATTTTACAGTAAGATCACGCTACAATCCTCACCAAGCGGTATGTTTTCTTGATATACCATGCTTGAAAATGACGTTAAAGTTGTTATATTTTGGTTTGTTTTACAGAGGCTGAAATCCTCGATGCGACCCTCCCCATTCTGGAAGCCTATATCTAAAAGGCATGCGTTCGATTATGACGCTCACGAGAGCGCCGTGCCACTTAGTTTTTGGAAACAGGTGAAAGTTAATATCTTCGGGGGAAATGACGCCAAATGAATTGGGGGGGCAGAGACTGACTAGGGAACTGATACATTGGGGATAGAATGATAATGGCTTCGAGCTCCACGTGGTGACCCAGAATCAACTTGCCAACTATAATCTCCTCTTATATCTTACATCCTATGTTCTTCATCATGTAATCCATCACTCTCAAGTATATTTATTCTCTAGTTGAAACTCCAATTCTGTGTGAATTAGCCTAGCCTAAATCCTTCTTTCGGCCCTTTGTTTTTAATAATAATCAAGGTAACAGAGATGCTTTATTGATCTGTATCACAATCCACCTATGTGGGGTAGGGGAGAGAACTCCCATAACGCATAACTTAAATTAACGAGTCACTGCGTGGGAGCTCTGGTCGATGACACTTCTCTCCTAGATGTAGAAAAAAACTTTTAAATTATCTTACAATAAATATCTTTTAATACACGTTTTTCATACCAAAGTAGATGGCTTGTATAGGCATTACGCCTGTTGCCCAATTCCTTTTGAAATTTGTATAAGATGCAATATTCAATAAAAAAAAAAAAGTGAAATGAAAAACATCCAAAATATTTACCTTGTCTCTATTCTCTTAGAAAATGAACTTTAGCATTGTGTTAAGCCTTTATAATTGTTGAAAACCGATAGATAAAACGCACTGAAATGTAATATAATTATATTAAATATGACGTAAAATTATTTCTGTGTTCGTCCTATTCTTATCATGAAACTATTTTTGAAGGAACTTATCATTAACTATTCAATACATAGCCGAATGTACAAAATATGCTCGATTTTACGATTAATCGATTTAAACTTTTTATAGAAAATGAAACTGAAAAAGTCAAAAGGTGACTAATGTATGATGAATCATTTATTGTTCCGAGAATTACCAGTGCGTTAATGTTGAGGTACTAGTTGACTGAAAATGGTTGATTGTTTTGTTTGTTTGTTTGGGGTGTAACGTCCTCGTTACAACCAGCGTCATACGAGGACGGGTGTCCAGGCAGACACCGCCAGACATAGGAGGTAGATCGAAACGCTAGTAGAAAGGAAAGTTAGGAAACGAAAAAGATCGCAAATGTTGCAATGGGGGCAGCAGATCAATTTAGGTCTCTTACACCAATCAGTATCAGTATAGTTTTTGTTTGGTAGAAGAAAGTAAAGAAAACCCCGATTCTGCAGGGAGCCCACATTAGTCGCCTCTTGCAATCATGCTGTGTGATACAGCAGACCACCAGTGTCCCTGTAGATACAGAGTTATTACTAGGTTACCTGTGTGTCCTTGTAGATACAGTGTTACTACTCGGGTACTTGTGTGTCCCTGCGGATACAGAGTTACTACTCGGGTACTTCTGTGTGCCTGTAGATACAGTGTAAGTATTCGGGTATTTG